ACGCTGAGAAATACACAAACACTTCAGAATGAATCTATCTTGGTCGACAAAGAATAAAAACGGATCCGTGACAATGTTGGCCCGAGAGGGGCAAAACGGGCTGGATAACTGACGAGATCTTATCAGTGGGGATCTTTTCAACAAGCGGTACACAGTACGTATCTAGTAGCACGCACGCACACACATAGGTACATACACACACACACACACATATATACATACCTACACACACATCTGATAGCAAGTATCGAATAGAGTTGAACAGGCGCGTGCAGAGATGTAAATAAATATGCACACGCTGGGAATAGTAAAATAACCATATGATAATCGATGCAAAACCTTAGTCGAACCGGATTTATTGATAATTTTTTAGCTGCTCCAGATGCAAAACACAGATCGCATGAGGCTTCCTGGATGGGGACCTCAGGATCATTGTAATCGATGGTTTCCGAGATTGAATGACACGGCTGAGTGTCGTAAGCAGTGACCCGGTGCCCTTGCAACCGTAACTGTCATTAATTCTGCTCCGCACAACTGGGAGGCGATGAGACAGTAATCTGAACCACGGCACGGAAACGCACGGTTAAAGAATGTGAAAAATTAAGTGATGCAAATCTGTTCAAACAGACTAGATGAACTAGCACTGGGAGGGTTGATCTGGTGTCAGTGTATCCCGGTAAGTAAAACGCACTTACTGGGAGACGATAGTGCTGCCAGATATTCCACATCAAGTTGGCGCTGATCTCAATCTCCAACGTGATCGCATGATAGAATGCCATGGTTTCATACTCGATATGATTCCCCTCTTTCATTACGAAACAATTCATAAACTGAAATGTAAAAGGAGCGAGAGGTTAGAATGTGCATGTGAATGGGATAATATTCCACAGTTTGGACGTAACGCCCGAAAATCGGTATCGAGTGCGAAATGGTGATTCATATCATGCTCTAGATTAGACAATCTGATCAGATATGTTTGCGCAGTGATGGCGAATGTCTTTGTTGACATTCAATATGACGTTAACTGTTGTACGACGATAATGATGACTTTAACCACTATTTAGGCAGTGAGTTTGACTATCGAGGTACGTGTGTCATACAAGATGATCTTTGTATTCTGAAGAGATCTTTCATGACGGGGTTCAATAAAATGCTAATATTGCGAGATAGGTGTGTAGATAGTGCAAATGGATTAGAATGATAAAGCTAATTCACTCCAAGCTGTTCAATAGTCAACTGAAGAAATCCATTTGGTCTTTTTGACAATTACAATAATAAGAGAACAATTCATATCGAAAAACTATTAGGGCACTAGAAAGGCCCTCTGCTACCATGACAAATTACAAACTTAAAGAACCCTCGTTCTTGTCTGATTTAGACCACAAACTCAATATTGCCGATCCGATCGTACCATTAAACTTGCACAAACGCATCAGTAGGCGTATACTGACGGGGATTATGTAATTTCTTCGCCCTACGATTACACCCTCGTAGCGTGCACCGAGGGGGATATCGGAATTATGAGCGACTTCCTGGATAAAGTTGATGTTATCAGCTGATGAACCGTAAGGTCCAAAGATCGAACCCCAACTTCATCACTTTACTTTCGCTGTATGCCGCTCAGTCCAACTCGATACGCTGATTGTCCTGGGACCAGTATTTTCGGCAATCCACCCAATTTAATAGATTTTACCGAAAACGACGTTCATTCTGCGTTGTGTAGATAGTGCAGTTGACTTAGGCTGTAAACATCAACAGAAGTTCTGGATTCATGGCGTTTCATCCGAAAGATCTGCTATGTATGTATTATACAAAGGTATGAATTATGCTTCTTCTGAGTTACGTTGTTTTTCGTATGAAACCTGTCCGAGGACATCGTGACACTCTGCAGATATGGAAAAAGCTGGCTTTTACGAGTAGTACTTCGGGTAATAAACTGCATATAACATGCATGATCAGTAAAAGCCCGTTGCGGCTGCCGAAACGTACGACTACATTATAAAGTACTGATCATAAGCTACTTCTACGTTTAGCGGACCTGTAGGCAACCACGTGCTTTACAGATAGATCAGTTAATCAGATGATTACCCTGAATGAGGCAGAAATCGCTTCACCGAATAAGCAGTAGGGCCCGATCAGCGATGAATGGACAAAAGCAGCGGCGAGGGGAAGGGGGACGGGGTGGCCATGTTTTATCCGGACAGTTGGAGATCATTCCATCCAGTGAGCAAGCATACAATGATGCATTGGCTTCATAATTACACTATCCAAAGTCTCATAAGTGATTGGATCGAAAGGTTTCTCTGACAACGGACCAGATCCGATATTTTTGATTCGCTGTTCGGTTGTATTAACATTTCTCGCGGGATTCCACAAGGAGCTGTTCCCGGGCCTCGACTCAACAATTTGCTCAATATGCTGATAGTTTTCGAACCGAAAGTTGGGAGACAGTAACAAAACCGGAGGGAGGCGTTAGCATTCCGGGAGACATAATGCAACCAGTTGATATCAGTTCTCCTTTGAAATGGATGTTATTTGAGAAATAAGTTACCACAAGCGGTTTAAGGCCTCCAATCCCGGTAGCTTGTCCTCAACTGCTTTCAGAGATGGAGGTACAGTCGTGGTATTGGAGTTGAGGAAAATTCTGTGATCAATATGGGACAATGAGCAATTTTCAGCTTAATGATTAGTCAGTTATATAAGCGATTTCTACGGTGGCGGTAGATCCGAATATGAAAGCGATGGAGGATTGAGTTTCATCAACTTCCCTAAGCTTATTGCCGGCATTAAACTCCATCGGTTGTCTATCCTACGTGAACGGCGCGCACGTGAATAGGGTTAGTTTTAGACGTGGTTGAGGTTTTATCGACCACCTTTTCACTCTTCATTAATTCTGAAACAGCAACATTCATTTTGTAGACCAACTATTTCTATCTTCCCTGATCTAGAAGTAGCCTTCGACACATTCAACTGCACTGCACTTTGGAGCACCCTCTCTTTTAATGGTTTACCAGAGAAGTTTATCTCAATAGTATCACCTATTAATACTACAAACCCCTTGGGAACTTGTCATTCAGCTCTAGTCGAGTCGAGGTATGCATTTCCCCCTTCACTTGCAGATTGAATCCTCCCCACAGATCACCTGCTGTGTTGACGGTTCCAGCCCACATGAGAGTCAATTCCAATTCGGTTATCTCGTGTACCAGTTCACGGGGACATTTTGTCGTACACTAGAGTCTCAGCACATTAAAATACTAATAACCGATATTGTGTCTGAGATCGCGGTTATTTTTGGTTGAGTTAAACACGGCCACCAGGGATTATTTTATTTACGGTGGTATAACGCAAAGTCACATGATGCGCTTCAGTGATGTGCAATGTTCGCCGCGGCAGATAGTAGATGAGAGAAGGTCAAAGGAGGTCACAAGAACCGTAACCAGCGGACATAATCACATGGGTCCTATTAGACCTCTTGGATTAGTGTAACCGGTGGTTACAGACACGGAGTGACATGCGTGAGTTTCACAAACTAAGGAGCACGTGAATTTACCCAGTACCACTCCTATGATCGTCTACCTGAATTCTTTCCCTCTCCCCTGACACACTTTCCAACATTCTGACTCGCCCCGCAACCCCTTCATTGAAATGGTTAGCCGAAAGACAACCACTCGAAAATTGAAGTCAATGGTTGTTTAAACTGAAACTAAAACAGTTCATCAATGATCGCTTGAGAACGAAATCGAATTCAATGTTCATAAATGAAAGTTATGATCACCACGCCACATGGGTCTCAACCCTGAAGTAAGGAAGACCTAGGTATAATTATTCAAAAAACTTCGGTTAGTCGATCAAATGCTATCAGGCTTCGTCCGCAGGTACAAAGAATTCCGGCTTGTTTGAAAGTGTCCTAGGTCATTTGGGGTCAACATCCATGTCTATCACTGCACATTCGACCGCACACTGGGTACGCCATCCAGGCTTGGAAACCGTATTTACAATATGATCGTAAGATGTTGGAACGTCCACAAAGGACTGTGACCAAGATGGCCAGGAGTTTACGATCAGTACCGGCGAGTTTGAGGACACTTGATTTTAGTGTATCAAATACTGAGGAAAGCAAGCCATCCATGTCGTCCGCTGCCAACACTATCACCCAACGCCCACTTACACGAGAACAGTCACTCATACTTGTGGTCCGAAGACACCGCTTGAAATGCGTCATTTTTTGATGTCAGAATGTGCACCATCCACATCGTTTGCGCACCAACCGTTATGTTTGAGTAGTGGAGACCCAAAGAAATGCTAGCATTCCTCACGTTTCATTATTGATGGAACCACACACTGTAGTTACATCGTATAATATTCCTATCCACAGAACTGTATATGAAACTTCCAATTTTCGGCCATGGTACTATTCTACTGTAGAAATAAGCAAAGGGACAAGAGGACCACGAGAACGCAGGCAGTTATCATGGAGATAGCTTTGACTTTGGACTCCGAGACCAAAAACCAGCGACAGTTTAATTCTGACAGCTCTGTTCAGTTTCAAATGATTAATTCGAAGGGGGTAAACCAACTTCTTGGTTAAATTCATGAGGAAGTGAATTACCAAGACCTTACCTTCTGATGATTATGTAATCCATATATACCTATAAGACAACACAGTGATCGAATGCAAATAAGCCACGAAGCTTCTTGTAATTGTCTGATACAGGCAGATTGCTAACCAAAACGAGCCCGGTCTAGTAACCAGACACTGTCGTGTATTGTCTGCAACCGCTTGTTCCACCTAGTCATATTTACTTATTGATGGCATCTGGTAGGAGTAGCACCTGTGACTCGGAGCGCTGTCGGCCCCTCTGGGGCATCCCCCGTTCCTTGGTCTTCACCGGGTGCTCAGCTCTCATCTGTGGCTCCCAGAAGCTGCTTAGATGTAACAGCGGCCACACCGCGGTAAACCGCTCGACAGGCGGGCCAAATCAGGTTGAGGGTGACCAGGAGCTCAACTCCCGGCGAGTCGGTGTTTAACGTGCATGTTGTGCCGACGAAGTTGGTTCACGGCTCATCTGCCGAGACAATGACTCCGCACTCACCAGGGATGCATGGACCCCTATTCAGCTAGCTACGGTCAATGGCGTATCAGCCCCTCCCAGAGGGCCACCGGCAACCATGCGCGACCTTTCTGCTGCCTTGCAGTTAGCACTTGGATGTGCAAAAGCTAGAGATACCAATTCGACCAAAAGCCGGGTGACGCTGGGGACGTTTCTTGTACCTAACTCCCAATAAATTTCATGGATATTCACTCAACCTGTCTTACTAATTATGCTACGGCGTTCCAGAGAAGCGACGTGCCCTGTGCTCCTCCAATGGCCCGGGTGACAAGTATGCGCACTGGACACCTGTCACCACGCAAAACTTTTTACACTGGATGCTGAAACGTAAGAACACTCTTAGATGCCCGAAGTCATGCACCAACGATACGCGCGCTGCATGACTACCAGCTGGATATTATATGCCTCTCAGAAGTTAGACAGTCGAGCTTCGGCTCCAAAAGTATCAAAATCCCCGGTATTGATAACCATTACTGGCTGTATCACAGCGGCAACGAAACGTCGGGTCAACACGGAGTGGCACTTGCTTTAAGCCATCGGGCTAATAGTGCTTTACTTTTCTAGAAACCAATATCCTCTAAGATTGCAGTAGCACGATTCAAGGGTCATGCTGTAAACCTCACAGTAATCGCTGTCTACGCCCCGACTCTCCCATCTGACAACAACGTCAAGAACGGGTTCTATGGCAGCCTTCAGTCACTTGTTAATGAAATACCCTAACGGGATGTACTTATCATAGCAGGGGACTGGAACGCTCAAACTGGTCTACAAGCAGAGGCCACGAAGCACGCCATAGGGAGGTTTGGCCTGGGCCAGCGCTGCAAGAATGGCGACAGATTACTCAGCTTCGCCTATTATAATCGATTGTGTATTACCAACACGCGGTTTCAATATCCAAAAAAGTATCTTCTAACGTGGTACTCCAACGACGGCCGAACGGCACATCAAACAGATTACGTTCTCATCCGTTCATGATGGGTTTCATCGATTGAAGACTGTCGATCATATCGCGGGGCTGAATGCGGAAACGAAAGCGAATCTGATCACGTACTAGTTCGCGCAAAAGTTAGACTCCATCTAACAACTCGCAGGAAGACCGTCCCCTCAAAACGCCTAAAGGTGCTTCCACTGGAGAACCGCGAGAAATGCCAGACGCGAATGAGCATGATAACCGCCCAGCTGTCAAACGGTCCCCTTGGTACACAAGGAAACTCAGTGGACCAGAATGAAATCGTCGTACAACAAGCCACTGTATACGCACTAGGCATTAGATCACGTCGTCTGAAAGACTGGATATCCGGCCACACCATCCAGTTAGCTAAAGCGGCCAGTAAGGCCCGCCTAGCTCCATCCTCTGCTTATCGCGATATCAGATGACAAGCAACACGATCAGCCAGGAACGACAGATGCAACTACTGGAATAAAATGGCTACAAAAATGGAGATAGCAGCCAACCTGGGCAACACGGTGACCCTCTTCCGACTTATTTGATCAGCATCGGGCAAGAAACAGGTCACCCACTCTGTGCTGCGCAGTGCCTCCGGTGAGCTCATTTCTGATGCGCAGGGAAAAATGTCTCGATGGGTGGAAGACTAGTCTTCTTCTCAATCGCCCTTAAATCCAACTTCCGCATGCACCCTCCTCGCCATCTTCGCCATACGAAGCTAACTGCGCTCCGCCATCAGTAGAAGAAGTCTCAGATATCATAAGCCATCTCAAGCCACGGAAATCTCCCGGTGAGGACGAGATTCCCGCCGAAATATACGCAGTGTTCTTCAGCCATTTTAAACTCTCTCCATAGCTTACTGTGTGCAATCTGAGAAACCGAAATTTGCCCAACTGACTGGACCACATCGATTGTACTACCCTTCCCTAAAAAGGGTGACAAATCAGTGTGCAAAAACCACAGAGGTATCAGCTTACTTGACGTGGCGGCCAATGTTTTTGCACAAATTTTGCTGAACCGCTTTGCTGCAACAAAGCACGCACGCACTCATCCTAAACAGAAGGGATTTCGCCCCAGTGTGGGCTGCGTCGATCAAATATTCATTCTACGTCGACTCTTGGAACATCACCATAAGTTTCAACAACCTACAACAGCTTGCTTCATCTATTTTCATGCGGCATTCGACTCCGTAGATCGCGAATCCCTCTGGAACATAGTTCTGGTCGATGGTGTCCCAGTCAAACTTGTCAACTTAATGAGATCCTACTAATCTAACACTAGCGCCCGAATCCGTCTACGGAGAGGAATATTGCCCGTTTGGGTTAGGATCTGGAGTGCGACAGGGGTGCCCATTGTCCCCAGTGCTGTTCAAATTTGCCGTGGACTGGATAATGGGTCGTTCGATGGAAGGACACCATGGAGTTCAGATCTATCCGAACTTATGGCTCACCGATTTAGAATTCGCGGATGATATTGTCGTCTTTGGCGAGGACATGTCGAACCTCCTAATTGTTGACCGCATCAGTCGACAGGCGTCCCAGATCGGCCTAGAGGTGAACACATCAAAAACCATCAAAACCTTTGCGACAGCCCCGATTCATCCCGAAAATGCTTTACTACTAAACGGCGAGCGAATCGAATCCGTCGAAAGCTTCAAGTACTTGGGTTCGACCATTTTCTCCAACGGTCAAGCTAAAGACGAGGTGCAAACGCGCGTCGATGCTGCAAGAAGGGCGTTTTTGCAGTTGAAGAATCCCCTTTGGCGCAAAAATGAAATCAGCCTCAAGACAAAAATCCGAGTTTTCTCCGCAGCAATCCATTCTATTTTGCTATACGGCTGCGAAACCTGGCCACTCAGAGTCGAAGACTGTCAAGGATTAAAAGTCTTCGATCAATGGTGCTTAAGAATCACTCTGGGAGTTCGATGGAGGGATTAACTCTCAAATGAAGTGGTCAGAAATCGGTGTTTTAAGCTTGTACGGCTGAGGACGCTAATGTAAGGGCGGCGACTACAATGGTTCGACTACATTCTTCGTAAGTCCGATAACGACCTGACAAAAGTTGTCTCGGCACCGCTTCCCTGCCCGAACTGGCGTTGTCGGCACGGTGGACGGCTGAAAACCTGGCTTGACACGGTACGAAAGGTTACTGAAAACCTTGGTCTCCGTTCCGTCTACGGCGTTCGACAATGTAAGTCAAGCTGGATCACAATCTGCGCCGCTCTTGCCGCAGATCGCCGAGCGTAGGCAGCGGCAATTCGAGATATCCATGAAGCCGACTTATCCTCTCCCAGGAGCTAACCGCCGTAAAGTAAAAAAGTAAAGTATGGTTAGCCACCTCTGCGGCCGTCAGAGACGCGCTCAGCAGTGCACAGCTTCACAGGGACTTCCAAAGACTTATGCCCTGTTGTTCCGTCAGGAATACCCAAGCTCCAGGGTTGAATGTAGACAATTAAATAAAGCCTCAACTGATATAGAGCGTAGTTCAACAATTACCGCCAGCGTACTGAAGCGTAAGATGTAGATCGTGTGAACATAATCAGAATGGAATTTAGAAAACCATTCATTTAATCATAACTACATCGCACAAGACAGAAGCACAAAGAACACTTATGCAAAGTAGACAGACAGAGAGATTGATAGACAGACAGACGGACGGACGAAAGGACGGACAGTGTTCCCTCATCTATCGCAGGTGTTATGTTCCACAGATATCCATGATAGATAAGAATTCGCGAAGTAGCGGCGTTCTAAAGTATTGTTTACATACCTTTCAAGGTTTTCTTAATCCTGTCCACACTCCTATAAACGTTTCTCTCACTTATACACTTCATTTGCTCTTGCAGCTTTCACTCTTAAATTTACGTGAGTTCAACAACGCTTACCACTCACCGGTGATGTATTCTACAGCTTGAACGATGGATATCATGAATAATGTAAGTGTGTGGTACTGAAGAAGTTAATGACGATGATAAGAGATAAATTTCCCGCTAAGCCATTATAGCTTCGACAAACAAATAAATTCATTAGGTGCTTCTTCAGATGGCGCAATATATACGGCTTGGGTCGTAAATTGTATGTACGCAATTTTAGGTAAGGATACTTGAATGTTACACAAACAGCCATACCATACCGCAAAATCCCACGATACAGCGTAAGTTGGCGGAATGGAACTAGATTTTTTGAATCGCGATATAGTGAAGCCGCAAAATAGGCGAACCGCGTCACGAGGACGGATAACTGTACCTGCATGTAACGAAGGACCTCGGTCCAAGCATTCAAAAATTCATCGTCCTCGACGAAAACGTCCACAATGGATTTATGCGAAACCAGATTGCCCAAATCCGAAACAAACGGCCAGAAAACATTATTTTGGATCAATGGACCTTCACAATTGACAACCATGTTGCTCCGATCGTCCAAGCGCTGAACAGAAGGTAAAGAAAATATGTGCCAATCACAAACCAGGGCGTGTATTATGTAAAAACAATTCACAATATTACCATAACAGTGACGTTTTTTTCCAATGGGTGGTGATCCCAACAAGATGGCAGCGAAGAAACAGTGTTGATATCCATAGGTCACTTGAAACGGCTGTTGGGT